ACAGGGATACACCCTTACCAACGGGCGCCCGTTATATACACGAATACATCCTCTTCCGAATGGTCGTAACTTGTATGACCCCTCGCCATTCAAGACATGGGTACTGTCAAGAATGTCGGGATGAGGCAACTGAGCTGCTCGGACTAAGGGGAAAAGACCAAGCTTGCGTAAAAACGGCGTATAAAAGAAACAGTAACAACCCCCTCCCTCCCCCGCCCCCCAAGAAAAAACAAAAAGCATTAGCGTAAACTACCCCGGAAGCGCCCACTCCGTTCAAGCGCAGACTGTTAAGTGTTCCAAACTTTTGAATTATGCAAATTACACGTTAAGCGCCCGATTTGACCGGACAAGCGCCAATGTCTTGATTATTCCAGTTTTCAGTGAACGTGCGCTTCCCCGTTACAATGCAATACATTTTCTTTTTTTCTTTTTTTTTTTTTTGTGACGGTTATGTAGAATTTTTTTCGATCGTCTCTAGTCACGAATTATACTATAGAGTATAGAAGAACTCCAAGGATGTACGTATAATTCATGCACAATTAATGTAAATCTTATTATACCTTTTCTTGGTAGCCGGCGTGCTTTCAATGATTCTGTAGTATTTCGACTTCATAATTAAAAATAGCACACTTGACACTCTGGAAGATCTCTGGAGAAGCAAACCTCGCATTGCCAGAGCTGTTCACGTGTTTGAAATAAAGTCACCATAAGCGATATATTATCCGGAACTTTCGAAGACTACTTATTAAACAACTTCAATGTTATTAATATCAAATTACAAATATACGCGGTTAAACACTGAGGTTGTCCTTAAAGAATGTAAAACTCTGGTTGTGTTTTGTTTTGTTTTTTGTGTATGAAAATCTCAGATATCGTTCCCGAAATATTCATAAAAAATTTATGTAATTTATTGTTATATAGATAAGGCCGTTTCGCTACCTTCAAAGAAGCCCATATGATAACGCCTTTGTGTGCAAAAGTTATGTTCGTGCGATAATAACGAAGCAAAAAAAAAAGGAGAAAAAAATATTAAATTTTATGCTAGATTAGAGGTACGGTAAGATATCAAACGTGCCCGTTTTATTTTACCTCTTACTTAGCACAAGTGGTTCGGCGTTTTTAAGACAAAAATAAAGTTATGCGCATTATATTAATTTATAGGCAACGCCATGAACTTGGAAAAAAAAAATCCTACTTCGTTCTGTTTTTCTTCTTTTTTTTTTTTTTTGCTCTACATTTATTGGAAGAAAGCAACAATTATGCTCTTAGTAAATGGGAAGTGAGCCGTTCTGAGAAGACTCGTCAACACTGACGTATCAGATGCCCGAAAAACATCCTGGCGCATATCGCTTTCCGAACGTTTTCTGGCGAAATGGAATTCGTCGGGAGACACACGCAATATTTTCTGATTATATTCTAAAAATATTTCAAACACGAATTAAAAAAAAAATTGTCAAGTTTTGATTAGCATCAGAGAGATTATATCAGACACAGATGTTTCGAAATGAGACTATGTTTAAATCTGAAAACACTACAGTAGCAGACCGTTTTTGTCTTAGGGTACCAGTCGAAGGGTACCATACGAAGGAAACGTCTGGTACCATTTTTGTCTTTGCAGTTACTATAGATTCTCAATAAAAAGCACACACAAAGACACAACACTAACCAATTCGTGCATGATTTGTATGTTTTTAGCTTCGTTGCGCCACGCAGGCGTGTTAATGCACCCGTTTATTATCCTGACTGTTTATTCTCTCTCTCTCTCTCGCCCTCTGGTACAGCCTACAAAGTATTTCTGCAACTGTCGAAGTGTCTTCATGTTTGAAGAAGGAAAGTCACTCCACGAAACGCCTGCGTCTTATAACATTGCAGTTGCTATACAAATTTCTCTTAACGTTGACAACTTCTTTGAGGAAAAACATTTTCATGTACATTCGACCTCTCAAAAACGCACACACACACACAAACAAACACAAACACACACACGCAAACAGACGCGCGCAAACACACATACACACACACACACACACACAGTGAGGATGAAAGTTGCCAAAAGCGGCGCGAGATAGAGGACCTTTCAAGCGCTTATTGACGAAGAATGCTGCAACCATGGCCTGTGGAGGTGTGCGTCCGAATGACGTAGAAGAGCGTTACATCCAAGTAGATGGCATCGCGTAAAATACGATGGAATGATCAACACCTTCACGCATCTCCGACTCTCACTACACCCGCCATTTTGGAAATTAGTGACGCCACCTGGAGATACACGCAGTCGCGAACAGTTCGTGGCTGCAAATATTCGCACACGTGAATCAAAGCATCAAATAAAACATACCGATCTTGTTTTGTTTTCAATACGTGATGGCTTTTAAGACACCCGAAATACGGGCTTCATACTTCGGGAAAGAAAAAAAGGGGGGGGGGGGGGGGGGGGGGGAGCGTAGTGAACCGCATAGCATAGAACTGCGGTTTACTCAAGCTGGTCTCGGAGCATTTAACAATATACTGACATTCGTGCCTCGTACCGGGCTATATCCTACGCATATGGTACCTGATAAAACTCTATAAAAGCCGCCGGAAATCCGTCGGTGTTTGTTTTAATTCTTGGAAGTATCCGGCACACCAGTACCGCAAGGTACAAAAGCTCTGCTTTGTTTTAACCCGCGCATTGAGAACGGGCTGAGGTAACCAAACAAAATACACGTAGCCTCATCTTGAGGCTTTGCGCTGAAACTTGCGTTTGTAATATAATTTTTTTTAATGTATACTTGACTGTATGTACGCTGCGTGGAACAGTTAACACGAACACGACCTAAGCGATTTTTGCATTTTATGAATAAAGGGTGCACTATTTTTCAACCTTTAGAATAAGCGAAAAACAAACATAAATTTTGAAGAAAACTATAATTATATATACAAGGTTTTTTTTTTTGTTTTTTTTTTATTCTTACACATTTGGTTTAAAAAAAAAAAGTGAAAGCTACACTAATGCGGTTTGTGCAGGTGGGTTATACGGCCAGGCGGACATCATGTGGGTGGCTAATCTTTGGGGCAAGTCAGCTAATTAATTAAAATTCGTTAATTAACTTTTTAATGAGTGGAAATAGACATATGATTCCATTTAGAAACTTGCTGAGCGTCATCCAAAACCCCTAAATCAGTAATTTTTAGAAATGCTTGAGCGCGTGAGAAGCGCAGTAATGCGCTTAACACTCGTGGAGCAGGTACAAGGCTGGGGCTAGATAAGAGAGGGAAAAATTGCGCGGGCGCCTTACCGAAACCGCTAGCCTAGTTCGAAGATAAAGTAAGTAGGCAGGCGAGCTGGTTGATGTTACACATTTTTGAAAACCCGAGACGACGGACGAAGAAGGGGACAACACACAAAACGTTGAGACGTTTTGTGTGTTGTACCCTTCTTCGTCCGTCGTCTCCGGTTTTCAAAAATGCGCTAGCCTTGTACCTGCTCCACGACTGGTACCCTTTAGAGCGCTACTACTCTTCTCACGCGGGGAAAATATTTCTGAAAATGACTGATCTAGGGGTTTTGGATGACGCTCAGCAAGTTTCTAATTGGAATCATATGTCTATTTCCACTAAATAAAAAGTTAATTAACGAATTTTAATTAAGTAGCCTACTTGTCCTAAATATTAGCCACCCACATAATGTCCGCCCGGCCGTATAACCTACCTGCACAATTCTGTAAGAATAAAAAAAAAAACACCCTGTATATATATATATATATATATATATATATATATATATATATATATATATATATATATATATATTTTCTTTTTTTTACGAAGAGCGAAGTACACGTAAATATATTCGCAGCACAGAAATCACCAGCTAGAATTTTTGACAAGATCATTTTTGCGTTTTTGGTGCAGGAAATATATTGGCTTTTCGAAAATAGCAGAAACCGATTTTCACGTGTTCCGTTTTCCGTGTAAATTTCGGTTGAGTACATGCAAATGTGTTCCGGCATTAAAAAGAAAAATAGTGTGTTTGTTTGCGTACGGTGAGAACTTTAGCAATTCTCGGAGCGTCCTAGAAAAGCCCAGCATTCTACCAAGAGTGTGTCCTATTTTGTTTTTAAATCAAAGATCTCGATTTGGCAGAAGAAAGGAGGCGTGTCATAACCTTTCGAAAATGAAAAGCACGCGCCTTATCGGCATTCCGGGCTATTCTTAGCACGCTCGAGAGCACAAATAAAGTTATCGCCCCAGAAGGACAAATCCCCAAGCGCTCCGTGTCCCACCATCCAAAAGAGTCACTGCCTGAGACTCTTTTCGGTCTCCTCAGCCTTCCTACACCGTACTCCTCTCAATGGTCCCATAAATACTGCCTACGTTCGTGCATGAAGCAGACGCTCTTCGAGCGTGCTTCAGGTGCGTCTGCAGCGATTCTTCCGCATGATATACCAGCAGTGGGACAAAAAGGGGCCATGAAACGAATTTTTGGGCTGGGAGAAATGATCTCATTTTGGGATTTTACGGATAGCATATTCTTCAGCGGACCAAACGAAAGAGGGTACAGTGTCCAAAGCACGCTTTTTTCAGTACGAACATTTGAAAATATAGCGAACTGTTCGTGCCTCCTTTCCTCGAAAAGCTCCGCGCCTTTTCATTGCAATCATGCATCCGCGGTACCCAAAGCACACCCAGCCCACGCAGTGGACACGAGAACTGCGTCACTCGGACGTATAGGATCGTCAACAATCAATCCGTCGACGAATATTTGAATTCGCGTTCGTGGTCAATGAGTGCCTTGACGGCACCGGTGATCACTTGCGAATGACAAGTTCCACGGTGTGCTTAAAAAGCACGGTGGAAGCTCGGAGTCCTCGCACCGGTGCCCTAGCGCGCCACGACCCCGAGATTTATTATTTCGCTTTTTGAGTTAATGAAATAAGCAAAAAAAAAAAAAATTAATAATAATTTTATGGCCTTAGTGTTGAGCAAAGCACCTCGCGAGCACAGGGTCGCTCGGAACTCACCTTCGACGGCAGCATCGGGGATCTTGAACTCGCCCTCGCCGAATACAGTTCCGAGCAGCGTCGAAGCCAGGGTGACCAGCAGCAGCAGAACGTGCACCGGGGCCATCGGCGAAGGCGCGGCGGTGCCCGTCCACGTGCGCGACATGTCCCGCGGTGTAGCGGCAGGCACCGAGAGCGGGGGTCCGGACGACTCGACGTACGCGCTCGGTGTGTCCGCGTGCGCCCTTCGCCTCGTTTGTCGAAGGCCAGAAGGCGGACGCACTCCTCGAGCAGACGCGCCTGCCTGCCGCGCCGTCACGTGGTGTCGCCGTGTCGTCACGGCCGAACAGGTCTCCCCGTCTCCCTGCAAGGTCGGGGGGAGGGTGGGGAGAAGAATAAACAAAAGAAAGCGTGATGGAGAGGAAACCTAAAAAAGAGGAAGCAAAATGGATCTCACGCAATTATCGCCGTGTGTTTCACCTTCCGACCGAGCGCACCGGACGCTGCCAGCCATCCCAGCCAATCCAGCCCTGTGGACGTTGCACCTGACTGCGCTTTCCCAGTATCACCGCGTTCCGCCCAAAGGTCACGTGATTCTCGCATGGCACTGCATTGGCTTCGATGGCTCCTAGCATTCGCTGCGGTCGCTCAGGTGAAACTCATTATGTCGCGTGTGTGAGCTTGGATGTGTCTGTTTGGGGAGGGGGCAAAAAACAAAGAACGTTTTTTTTTTTTTATGTAATGATTATGTTGCTTGTATGTCATTAAGTGTTGCGCTTGTTTTCTGTCCGGTTTGTCGCTTTTCCTGGCTTTTACTTTTAGAGCGCAGCTCTTAGGCGCTCGTTCCCGTGTTTCGCGGTGTCGGCGTAACCGCGCGCTGCATTATGAGACGTTACAGACCTATCCACCAATTCAATTTCCCGCTAAATTTAGCGAATGAACTAAATTTACTCATAGGTGACGTGACACAAAGTCATGTGACGTCATTTTCCCCGCTAAAGTTAGCGAGGAAACTGAATTGGTGTTGAGGTCACGCGGCGTCAATTTTCCAGCAAAATTTAGCGAGAAAACTGTAGGAGGAGGGAAGGGGATGGAGGAGGAGGAGGAGGGTATTGTGTACGCAGGAGTACGATGTCTATATTTGTACATATAGATATTTCTTCCGCAAATTCTTCAGCACGGTATATCGCAAAATCAAGTTACCTCAAGAGCTGCGCTCTAATTTCGCGTTACAATAATTTGTACACCACTTTCAATTTTTTCTTGTTAATTTTACCTTCTTTTTTTTTTCTCGAAATATACGTGCAAAGGGTGAAACACATGTGCGTACAATTAAACCCAACTCACAGAAAACTTGGAAAACTGAAAGGTATTTATCGCGCGTATGTCGCGGTTAGTTTTTTGCACATGTGCTCCAAGCTTCATTGCTCTTTTCTTTTCTTTCTTTTCTTCTTTTTCTTATTATATTCGTTGATTTAAGCCTCTCTCTACAACGTGTGCAAGGCAGATTACGTTCGAGCGCTGCGCTCGAACGCAATCTTTTATCATTTGAACGCAAAAATTTCATGATATTGTTTCGCGAAACAGCTGGCACGAAATTTTGCACTGGCGGGGCAAACTTACCCCAACCCTATGTGGATGGATAGATATGGTAATGGCTATACCCTTTGTAACGGGCGGCAGCTTGCGCCAGCTAGCCTAACATTTAAAATTTGTATAAATTTTGTTCTAACCCTCCGCCCCCCCCCCCCCCCCTTTTAAAGTGCTCCCATTGCCTATTTTCATCTGTATTTTCACCCCTAACCTAGACCTTTTCCACCAACCTTCCAATCTCCTTTTAGATACCGCAATTCTTTCCCTATCTATTGATCCACCCATGTCTGCAAATCCCAGTGCCCCCTCCAAATCCGTAGTCACCCCCCCCCCCCCCCCCCCCCTCTGCACCTTAAAATTGCATGTTCTATAGTTTCCCTTTCGCGGTTGCACACGTCGCATAGGGTGTTGCAAATGCTGCGCGTGTGAGGCAATGAAATAGGACGTTTGACTAAAACAAAACAACTGTATTGAGCATCGTTACAAGAAAGGTCCGTTCGTTTTAGCAGTTCTGTCGGCGTCTGTCCCGGTCCCGTTCCCCCCGTTTCTTTCTCGGTCCTTTTCTCCCCCGATTCTCCGAATTCTTCTCCCTCGTTCTCCAGTCTCGACTCCTGGCCTGTCCCCCGCTTTCCTCCTCCCCTCTTGCCCTCTCCCCAGTCCCCATCGTCGTGCTCGGGCTACTGGGGATGTCGGCTCGGGCCTCACCCGGCACCTGCTTCGGAGGACGCGAGCGGGGGCGGAAATGGCGTTCTTCACAATACGCAACATCCTCCCCCCTCCCCCAGCGATGAGCAGAATTCGTTCACTCGGATAGTTCAAGGGGGAAGAGGAGCTGGACGGGGCGCCGAAGTGTAGCTCCTCCAGGCAGGCGCACCAAACACGAACGCACGTGGTTGTCCCGACCCCGCTGAACTTGTTCTATCCGCCCCATCCTCCACATCAGCCGTGGCGTTTTGTCTTCATGGACGAGGACGAGATCCCCGTCCCGCAGGTCGTTCGTGCGTGTCTCTGTTGCCCGGTGTGCTGAGCGGAGCTGGAGGAGGTACTCTTTTTGCCACCTCCCCCAGAACTGATTCAGTAGTCTTTGTCGGTGTCGCCACTGTTGGAAGTATAAAAAGGGCGACCTTTCAACATGGAACCAGGCACGCAACAGCCCGCTCTTTAATACACTTCTTCCTCTTCCCTCGTGTCGGCAAAGCCGACACGAGCGATGAACTATCTCACACATCTCCCCTACTAAGTAAACTATCTCACACATCTCCCCTACTAAGTCTCACATCGGCAACGTTCATTGTTCGGGATACCTCTTTGGTGGACGAACACATCTTCCACTCCTTGTGTAGGTGTGATTGTTCTCGGCGGAATGAGGTCCAGGCTCCGGTTGCTCAGTTTCGTCTCTTTGCACATCCTCGTGTACCGGTACTATTTCTGGCCTGGGAATCTGACTTGGTAAAGGAATCAGGTGTGTTCTGTTTCTGCGAATGGGCTCTCCGGCGTCAGTGTCAACCCAGTAAGATCTGGGCTCATTTGCATTGCTTTCGACGACTCCTTGTCGTTGCAGGTCCACTACCCACACGTCGGTTCCTTCGTCAAGGTCGACCAAGTCCCTGACCCCATGCCTACGGTCGAAGTCTTGTTTTTGCTTTCGTCTCTGGGATGTTTCATATGTTCTTACGCTGCTAAGATCTGGAAGGCAGGGAACAAGGCACTTGGATGAAACAGGAATAGTTGTTCGCAACCTCCTGCCCATCAGGAGTTCTGCCGGAGAGTACCCATTTTTCAGTGGACTTGTTCTGTATGCCAACAGGGTCTTATACGGGTCTCCAGTTTTCTTCAGTGACGTCTTTATTATTTTGACCGCGGCTTCTGCCATTCCGTTGCTTTGGGGATATCGTGGACTCGAAGTAATGTGGCGAAAGCTGTACTCTTTTGCAAATTTGTCAAATTCGGCACTTGAAAACTGGGGTCCGTTGTCAGATAACACCACGTCCGGTATCCCATGCCTCGCAAAAATGGACTTGCAGTGATTGATCACACTTTTTGACGAGAGGCTGGCAAGGCGGGTCAGTTCTGGGTAGCGTGAGAAATAATCAGTTACGATTAGCCACCAGGCTCCATCCCAGAAAAACAAATCCATCGCTACTCTTTCCCATGGACGTTGTGGGAAATCTGTTGGCAGAAGAGGCATCTTGTGATTGGCGCTCTGTTTGAGGCACACGTGACAGTTTTTGATCAAACGTTCTATGTCTGAATCGACTCCAGGCCACCAGACAGAGTCCTTCGCTCGTCCTTTGCATTTGTCCATCCCGAAATGGCCTTCGTGAAGTTGGCGCAGGACTTGGTCGCGCATCGATTCCGGGATTATCACTCTTGACGTGTATACTAATACGTCGTCAACAATTGAGATGTTGTCTTTGATTTCCCAATAGGGTTTGAGATCCAGCTCCACATCTCTTCTTCTCGGCCACCCTGTTTGAATGATTTTCTGAAGACGCATGCACACTTTGTCTTTACGTTGTTCACTGGCGACTTTTTGAATACTGTATGTTGTCAGAGGCATAGAAGAGGCGACGTGTGTAATGTAGCCGTCAATTTCATTTTCGAGCTCGAAAGGTTCGGATTGTAAGATAGGAGACCTTGACAAAGCGTCGGCTGCAGTGAGATCCTTGCCAGGGACGTAAACAATCGCATACGTGAAACGCATGAGTCTCATGCGCATCCTCTGTAGCCTCGGTGTCAGGTCATCGAGCGCTTTGGACCCAAAGAGTGAGACGAGGGGCTTGTGGTCAGTTTCAAGAGTGAAGTTTCTTCCCACGAGGTAGTCTCGAAACTTCTCGCTGGCCCATACGAGGGCCAAGCCTTCCTTCTCGATCTGTGCATATCGGCGTTCAGTGTCTGTTAGGAGTCTTGACGCGTAGGCGATCACCTTGAACCACTCTCCTTCTTTCTGGCGTAAGACAGCACCTAGACCGTATGCCGATGCGTCAGCACTGACAACTGTTTCCTTGCTTGGATCGTAGATGCCTAGAACTGGGTCTGATGAAAGCATAGATTTCCACCGGTCGAAGGCAAGCTGTTGAGGTTGATTCCAGACGAAGTCGTGCTTGGTGCTTAGCATCGACGATAGCGGTTCTAGGAGCTGTGCACCATTAGGCACGAAGCGCGCCAGATACGTTGCCATTCCCATGATGCGTCGTAACTCCTTCTTTGATGTTGGATTTGGCATCTGCAGAATAGCTGACAGCTTTGCTGGATCTGGACGAACTTGATTGTTCTCAATCACGTGTCCCAGGAAAGAAATCTTCGTAACGCTGAAGAGGCATTTCTCTCTGTTTAGTGTGATCCCCGCTTGAGTGAGACGCTCCAGGACTGCTCTTAGATGGCTATCGTGTTGATCTTTTGTAGATCCCCAGATCAGGACGTCGTCCATATGGCACGCCACTCCTTCAAGACCCAAAAGAACATCGTTCATTCTTCTTTGGAAGTGTTCTGGCGCCGAAGAAATTCCGAACGGCAACCTGTTAAAACAGAACCTTCCAAAAGGTGTTATGAATGTAGTCAAGGGCTTGCTGTTTTCACTTAAGGGGATTTGCCAAAACCCCGAGTTGGCGTCGATTTTCGAGAAAACGGTTGCCTTCTGCAACATTCCCAAAGAGTGTTCCACTG